AAGTTTGTGACGGTCTTGTTTGCTGAAACAGTACCTTGCCAAAGTACTGTTGAGATGACGACAAGAAATAAAACTTTGCTGATCTTTGAATCATCCATATTGACAACCGACTTGGACATATTCAAAAGCACAAAACTCTCTGTACCTTTGTTCCACTTCTTCCCACCTTTTTTCACCGCAGTGCGTTTTACAAATACCACATCGCTTTAAATAGTTTTCGTCGCAGGTTAAATGCTCCTCCCATTATCCTTTCAATAACCTATGAACATTGTCTCTCAAAGAAATATAATAGGATAACCAACCCATTTCATTGTCAACCCTGGAGTTTCTTTTTAAACACGCCTTACCGACTGTATGTTAGATTGTGGTTGGGCTGAACTGTGGCCTTGATTAGCATATACTTGGCCTTGGCCATGTGAAGAAGTGCTTTGTGATCAGTTCACTATTTTCTGGTGGGTTCTAAACTTACTAGAATTCGTAATTATATCTTATCAGAACCAAGCATTTACTTAAAATGTAATGTAGCAGATGTACGTTATGCGCGTAAGTTTATTTAGTTTAAATGAGTGTGCATGCCGTACAATGCATGCGTATCTGTGTGCGTACAATGCACCCTATTTGTTCTCAGATGGCCAACACAATGATTTTGTGTAACGGTTAGTGAAGCACGAGCTTCAAAAGTTGTAATTCAAAATATTATTTTTTTAGCGTATTAGTGTTAAGGTTTTGAAGTCACTTATTCATTTTTAAAATGGAATTTTCAAATCCAACAAAATCACATGGCTAAAAAAATGTTGACAAACAAAAACTGAAATAGTATATGGTTCAGGAATAAAAGTTGAGGAATTTTCCCCCTAATATGAATCAATAAAAATCTATGCTTGGCAATGCATCTTGATTGACCCTTGCCTTGATTTAGTGTTAGGACCTTGGCAGAATGAGCGGTAGAAGTTTTCCTCATATTGTCACATGGAAAATCGACCGGAACGTGAAGGACCCACTCGCTTCTCGTTCACATGGGACAAAACTGTTATCTTGGAGTAATTGATTTTAATTCACTCGAAGTTTGACACCGCCATCGACATACTACTTATTGTATGGTTGTCCTAGGAATGGAATTCTTGAGACCCGTATGGTTAGTACAGGAAAGTGGTAGTCGGAATATTCATGGCGTTAGCAATATGGGATGAATGTCACCTGTACAAAGTAATCGGGTTCGAACTTCGGTTCCTAGAGGACTACCATTCCTGTCACACCGTCTTTGAGATACCAGTATGCATCGTCTGTCCTTGTGTGAGAGGTGCTTTCACCGTTGTCTTCTGTTCAGTAGAGATAGGGGATATTTAGGCACGGCGGTTTTTCTTAACTGTACCTTTAGAACTTTCCATTCAAAGAACGTGAAAGGGCCAAATTGTAAGTACTAGTAATAACTCCGTTCTTATCCTTTAGAAACATAACATGGCCTTTATGCCTTTTGAAAGTGAACGCGTTGTAACACTTCTAATTTCGTATTCTAGGCACCTTGCCGGATACACCAGTGATGACAAGCAGTGCCAAATTGTCTTTTTGTATGCTCTTTGATAGATGCCGTGTATGCACATTGGATTATTATTTTATGACAGAGGGCTGGACATCATGCAGATAGGGCATTCAGTCTGGGCCATGTACATTAATCAAAATGCCAATTATAGTGTTATAACGAAGTTATAGAATTTATCAACCACTTTTTGTACTTACACATACATGGCTAGCCTTGTTCTAGGCTTGTTTCTTGACACAATACTGAGTTACACTGTTAATATTTTATGTAACGAGATTTATGACTCCCTGACATAACATGACATGAAACAATATCCCATATAGCTTATAATGATTCTTTCACTGTTCATCTTTCCTATATGGGTATACAAAATGCCTGACCTAATGACTGGGCATGATACGATCACAATGGTAACTTAAGTACTTGCTACACAAAACAAAGCTTTTGATTCAATAAGATAACTGTCGTTAATTTATTGTGTATGGGTGTTTTGTAAACGTTGTGGCATAATGGAAGGAGCACTATATACTGAAATCAATAAAAAGCGTAGAGGCAGTTTCTTTTGTCTGGTTTTTATTTTGTAAAATTTCTGTGGCTAATCAACCAAACTTCCCTTCGTTTCTGGGTCTCCAGTCTCATCTGGTTTCTCTTTTTATAATCACTGATGGTGAAAATTAAAGAAATAAAGAGTACTTTTACGAAAGGGGGCGAATGAACCCTCGTATGTACATGCACAATATGTGAAACAAACTCGGCGCTATCCCGTACGATGACGTACTAGTACACGCACATTTGATAAAATAAGATAATTTATTGTTTTAAATTTCCCAAAAAATGATACAGCCGTGGGCAACTTACAGTAGGGTTGTTTCGTCTGGACCATACCCATTCATTAAAATGACGATAACAGGTGTACTTGTAAGTTATAAAAAATTAAATTACATACATGTATATCATGGATATCTCGTTTTAAATGCTGAAAGTATGATTATCTTGCGCCCTGACCTCCAATACTGAGTTACACTGTTAATATTTTACGTAACGAGATTTATGACTCCCTGACATAACATGAAACAATATCCCATATAGCTTATAATGATTCCTTCACTGTTCATCTTTCCTATATGGGTATACGAAATGCCTGACCTAATGACTGGGCATGATACGATCACAATGGTAACTTAAGTACTTGCTACACAAAACAAAGCTTTTGATTCAATAAGATAACTGTCGTTAATTTATTGTGTATGGGTGTTTTGTAAACGTTGTGGCATAATGGAAGGAGCACTATATACTGAAATCAATAAAAAGCGTAGAGGCAGTTTCTTTTGTCTGGTTTTTATCTTGTAAAATTTATGTGGCTAATTAACCAAACTGCCCTCCGTTTCTGGGTCTCCAGTCTCATCTGGTTTCTGTTTTTATAATCACTGATGGTGAAAATTAAAGAAATAAAGAGTATTTTTACGAAAGGTGCGAATGAACCCTCGTACGTACATGCAAAATGTATATGTGAAACTAACGCGGCGCTATCCCGTACGATGACGTACACGCACATTTGATCAAATTAGATAATCAATTAATTGTTTTAAATTGCCCAACGAATGATACCCATTCATCAAAATTACGATAACAGGTGTACTTGTAAGTTATAAAAATTAAATTACATACATGTATATCATGAATATCTCGTTTTTTTTAAGTGATAAAAGTATGATTATCTTGCGCCCTGTTTACCCTACGGTACCATTCTGCTTAACTTTTTTCCAGGCACGTTGAGTTTCTCTGTTTAACTTTTCCGTGAGAAACAAGATTGTGGTATTCCATCGATTGAGTGGATGACAGGACATGGAAACAATAGCGCATGTATCTTGACACCTAACTAATGAAGTGTTTCTTATTGCAAAGCTCATCTTTTCTGTAATATTATACGAAATGCGTGACTAAATGACAGGACATGACCCGATCAAACGCGTAAGTTGACGCTTACTCCACAACACGTCCACGTTTTTAAAATTAGATTTTGTCGTAGGTTTGACTTGTAATAAGCTTTTGTACAGCGTTGTTGCAAAAATACAGAGAGCGCAATTTACTTTGAAAGCAACAGGATATGCAGTAACGAACGTTTCTTTTGTCTCGTTCTTTTTTGCTAAAACGGTCATTGGCTACCCTGAGTGTCAGAGCAACGTAAAAGCTAGCTTGTTAAATATATACCTTGTGATGGAGTCGCTTTTAGTATTGTTGATATGGGTTATATATGAAATCAAGATCGAGCTGACAATACCGGAATATAGAACCTAGGGTATCATTGGCATACTCTCATGTAAAATGTTGTCATGTCAATGTTAGTGGTAGCGCAAGCAAAATCCAAACAGTGTACGTTGTAATGCTATGGACACTGTTAGGGATAACAATTTAAAACTTAATTTTCTCTTTGCGCAATATACATATTTCTATTTTCATTGTTTCATTGAAAGCTAGAAGGTTTGGAAATTGAAAAACCGTCTTGTCCTCTTTTCTGTGGGATAAACAATTAACCGTATATACGGATCAAATACATATCTTAACAAATGACTAGTCCGAAGTGGCAGGTGTTAATTAACCCATGCAGATGAATCTCCCTTTACATACATGTACTTGTACATTGTGGGCAGTGATGTACTTCACTCAAATCTGGTGTTAATTTCGGAACTTGCAAGTTACCGAGCAAAAAACCGCTCATTGCATAACACCACACTACATGTACACATAGGAATTTGAGACCAACGGGTTGGAAACAGAAGTCGCATTCAATCAAGCATGCACTGTACGATATTTTATCGGTAATTGTATGTATAATTTAAGACCCCATCCCCACAAATACTTTACTAGGTCGACTAGCAGGATCGACCCATCTCCGAGGGGTTTCTCGCTAAATTACATTCAGATTAAGCGGCTCTGATGTCCGGCACGCCTACCAAAGCTGTTAGGGGGTAATTAACGATCGTTTAACAGCGTCAGTAGGTGTGCCAGACATCTAAGCCGCTTAACCTGAATGCAATTTAGCAAGAATCCCCTCGGAGATGGGTCGATCCTGCTAGATCGATCTAGGTTTGGGAATGCGTTCTTAAACTACAATATTTAATGGTCGGCATGATTTGAATTATTATCCCTTGTATAAATTGAGCCTTTGGCGTTATTTGAAATAGAACAGTAACGTTTTCGATGAAATATTGGTCGTCTTTATGCACTTTATAGCATGTGTTTGTGTAGATAAGGACGTACAAAATGTATATGTACGAGATTGTAGAGGGGAGAAAAGATGTTATGAAAAACGGACAATTAATGACAGTTATTATATGAGTAAATTACAATATTGAATAATAGGCCATGCAGATTTTTGTCCCCCCCCCCCAAAAAAAAAAAAAATTAATGGGATGGAGTAATTAAAATGTACATGTAAATATATATCATTAGATTTATTTATTTCATGGATAGATGTAATACATACAGACCAAAAGTGAATGGTCTTATAGCCAACAATACACGGAAATTGAATGAGACAGTTTTTTTTGTTTACACTATTGAATTCCATAACGAATACTAGCAATGCTTGGAAGACTGCATGGTTCCTCGTTAAACGGTGTTCTTGTGATATATACCTGTAATAACCGACTAGTGGTCACTGAAAGCCTTTTTACAATAGAATTCTGGTTTTTTTAATGTCTTACCCGGAATCCCAACTACATACATCTAAATGGCAAATTGTTTGTCTTTACATTCCAGTGGGTAGCAGTAATGGAACTTTAAAAAGTCAAATTTCTTCACAAAGGAGTGTGCATATCTTGCAAACCTTCAATACATCATGTTTGTAGGTTGCAAACTAACTGGCAGCACCACTGTTCTATAGTAATTTAATGCTAAAAGTAAAACAAAGACGACGCTATCTTTCTTAAAATAAAGTTTGGCAATTGCCAAAAAAATAACTATCATATTACCAGATGACCTTAAATAGTTTTATCTTAATTTTGGCCCCCATATATGAAAAGGAATACATTTCACTGATAATAAAAAATATATTGAAAAATATTTAAACATTTACATGCTTGTGTACAAAATACACGGTGGGACTTCTGTTTATTGAGACCAAACGCTATTGTAAATATAATACAATACACAAATGGGACTTTTTTATTTTCCAGCGCTGAAAATGTTTATGGCTGATGGGATATGTCACACCCCAAACACTAATTACAACACTTACTACCCATAGTGTTTTATCAGAAATAGTACTCAAGGGGCATACAGTGTAAATTAAGATACAATTACACTGTAGAACTGAAAATGAAATATCATTAAGTCAGTATTTAATACTTACACATTTAATCGTATTGCAATGACCTTTATATACATGCAAAGTACCTACTTTTAAACAATTTGTAAGGTGAGTGAAAAAAACTGCACTGTTTTCCAACGCTTGTAGTAATACAAAAGAAGGCAGTTGTCAGGGTTCTATTGCCACTGATCCCACTATGTACGCAGAATGCATATTTTTCTTGTACTTAAAAATAGTTAATATTTGCTAAATATCTGTTAATAGTACCATGCAGAATAACATTAAGCATAATACAACGTTATGCTATCTTCGCTCTTGTTGACAATGTATAATAGGTCAAGCTGTAACATTCAAACTAAAAAATAAAAATAAAAAATTCTTGGCAATCTGATGTCAAACTGGATAACCAGTTGATCATTTTATATGTACATGTAGCTATATTTACAATGTAGTATACTGTGAACACTGTTTATGGAGCAAATTGGAGCCTATGCCGCTTCCTCTATACATGACTAGACAATACCATTTAAAAGTTACCTTAAATGCTCAATTTTGATTGCTGCTACCTTTATGAGTGGCTGATAACAAAACAGCCATTTTGTAACGTTTATATTGAGCGACTAGATGAAAATAAAATTAGGCCAGTTCTGTGTGTACAGTTTACCCTCAAATAAAAATAACTAAGCCCTGAACAGAATTAAATATCCAACAGCAGTACTCTGACATTCGAAAACTACTGGAACATGCCTGCCTAAAAATTCTATGGCATCAATGAGTATCAAGTCCCTGTAATTTCGCCGCCTTTGGCAATGCTAAGAAATAAATGCATACATGTTATGCATATCTGGGCATAGTGCAACCTGTGGGGTAGTGATGACTCTAGACATTCTATTGTTTTTGCTGTCGTTTATTTTTACTCATCATTGTTGCATATAACCACACCACTTGCTGTTATATTTCTTCTATAAAACCAACATCGGCAGTCATATTGTATCTTAATATCATCGACTCTAAAATACAAACTTTGTGAGACGTATTTTGTCACACAAAACCTCGGGCTCCTCTTGTAATTTTTTTTAATGGTGTGACGTCCACCTGCCGTTTTAATATACAAAAGGCCGTCTTTTTCGATGTGCCTGCTGAGCACATCAACTATCAAAGCAACGGTACGTCATTTTCCTTAATGATGTTGAACTGCTCGAGGATTGTGGTAGTTGTCTCGGCAGACACATTCGAGTTGTGCTTTTCATCTAATACATTTTGTTACAACCGATCGTCTACACAATATGACGTCCTATTGTGAGGCCCAAGTTTTAGTTCCTCGTTCGTACCAATGCGCGGTTGCTGAAAAAAGAAATCATAAATAAATATATAAATACATAAATATGACATACTTGCTGAACTGAACTACAAATCATAGCCCTCGCGTGAAGTTCTTCAATAAATCATTTTTTGATAATCGAACATGTTTTCTATTTTTTTTTTTTTTTGAAAGAAATTCAAAAAACGTGCCACACAAGAAAAGATTAAGAGAGTCTGCATGTAAAATGCTAAAGACTTACGATTTTGCGTATTGAGAAAAGGACAGTTTCATTTTCTCGTACCACACTAGATTTAAAATCTTGAGACTCGTACATGAACACACAGGTTCTGAACCGCTCAACGTAACTTGTTAGCACTATCATCCTGAGCCCATTGCTACTGATTGCAATCAACTATCTGACCTACTTACCCAATGGTCCCATGTCATCAAAATCTTATAGAGTTCCTCCCCCGGGCTCTCGAAGGGGCGGACCTGGCACTGTCCGTACAGGACATAATCCGGAGACAGTTTCTGCTTATAAACACTGTACTTCAGAAATTCTTTGAGAGCGGTGAGAGCGCGTTCCTTGGGCGCCTGGAAGCGGAAGTCACCGATGAATGCGATGCCATAGGAATCGTTGTTCCAGCTGTAACGTATAAGGAGAGATTGAAATGCCTGTTATAAGGATATTGTAGCTATGATTAAATGTTGAAAAGAAATAGTTTCGATGTTAAAAAAATGCAGGCAATGCCTCTTCTGGTCTTCTATTTTCTTTCTCACGAAGAATAGTATTTATTTTTTATGCACCTAGGCTAGTATCGCTGAATTAAAACTACAACCTGTACGCCGCTGTACAGATTCACATTTTTGTAATGTGGTAAAACTGGCAAATCCATAGCCTGGGCATTTCTCAACAGGAAAACAATCAAACTTGAAAGCAAACAATGAGAGAGACGAAGTCAATCTCTTGCAGTCTCTAATAATCATTAACAAACTCAAATGCTGTAATCGTAGTACATGTATCAGGACTTGAAGTGTCCTCACCGATAGCTGTGAGCCCCGATGTAATCCCACCCTCGACCTTCGTAGATCACACCGTCTTCAGCCACCAGGAAATTGTAGCCGATGTCATACCATTCTGAAAATAGAAATACAAGACGTAACAGAGATCTGACGGAGATGTGTTAATGGCAATCTGAACGACAACTTTAAGCGTGCTTTCTATGAGAGGGTTCAGATAAACCCCATGGACCGATCCAACTCTGTTGGGATTCTTGCTGAAGTGCAGGCAATGGGAGCGTTCAGATAAACCTTTCAAACTAGATGGATCGATCCAACTCTGCGGGGATTCTCGCTGAAGTGCAGTCAATGTGATCAGCTTATGTGTCTGGTATGCCTCCTTGACCAGTAAGGGGGTAATTGACTAACGTGCGTGCTCGGCTCTCGGAAGCTCTTTCACGCGAGGACGCGTGTTGGACAAATAATCTGATTACAATGCATGCACTTGAATGAGAATCCCCTCAGATATGGATCGATCCAGCTAGGGTTTATCTGAACGCGGCCTATTACTATATCACTGACGTAAACGGTTTCTTGGCAATGATCTCGTAAGGTCAAACAACGACCCTAAAAGCCCTGGCTTGAACTTAAACGACCTGTACTTTCTGCCAATGAGTCTGTTGTTATTTCGCAGTTATTACAATCGGACGCTAATTTGACGTTGGTGTCGGATCTTGAATTCCTTATCTCGCCAAAATACAGTATATGAAATTCTGGGATTGTATATTATTTAGCCCATTACCTCCCTAAGTCTGGAATTCAATATTATAAACTTTTATAAAATAAAATAAATGTTATTATGATAATAATTATAAACTTCACGGAGTCTAGCATTTCTTCAAAAAGAAAAAAAAAGATAATAAAATAAGGTCCCATGTTAATTAAATACTCAGTGAAGATGAATTGTATCGTAATATTGATAATGTTGTTTTGACTTCACAATTCAAGGTTCATTTAAGGCGAAGACTTTGCGGGGAAAGCATTAGGGCAACCAATTGACCATTCAAGATTATAAGAGGAAGCAAAAACAGGTGGCGTGTGGGCGCACATCATGTGGACCTCTTATGATCACAAACCATATAAAACGTGCGTAGCACAGAGAGCCGGGTGGAAAACAAACATGTTTAGCGGGCCATTTTAGCCACAGCACGGAAGATTATTAGCAAGCGGTGGCGATCATAATCGTGAATGATAGTAGAAGTTTTGCATATACAGCAGTTTGAAAAGGCCCCATTCCCATACCTAGATCGATCTCATAGACCGTTCTATCTCCGACGGGTTTCTCGCTAAATTACACCCCATTTCCATAGATTAGATCGACCTACTTTGGATCGACCTAACTCCCTGGGGGTTCGCGCTGAATAGCTGTCAGCCAGGCGGACACGAAAGTTAATTGCCCCTTACGGCTTGTAGTGGGCGGGGACGGACACTTAAGGGGGATTATCTGACGATAGTCTGGTGAGACTCCCCGCGGTGATAGATCGATCTAAAGTTGTGGGAATAGACCCTTACATTCAGCTTAAAGCGGCTCTGATGTCTGGCACGCCTACTGAAACTGATAGGGTGTAATTAATTATCGTTTAGCAGTTTCAGTAGGCGTGTCAGACATTGAGGCCGCTTAATCTGAATACAATTTAGCAAGAATCCTCTCGGAGATGGGTCGATCCTGCTAGATCGATCTAGGTATGGGAATGACTTGTTACATACTCCCCATTATGGCAAGATCGACTCAGGATTTATTTTATTTATCAGCGGTGATATTCTTTGGAATAGAACTAGTAATGACTTATCTTTGGTCAAAATAAAATTAAATTTTGACCCCGGGCGTGCATTATTAACATTTTGCTCACTGAGGATTTCAGACTTTAAACATGTTCTCCGGACAAAATAATAAACATTTTCACTCATTGCACGCATGGCGTCATAGAAAAAGAAGGCTACAATTGTGATGGGCTAAGTCAATTAATTGTATTGGGAAATGCGTCAGTCACTATAGCATCAGACGCACGCGACATTTTCATCAGCGCTTCTCACTTACGGCACCACTTTTATAGTGAAACTGTGAAAGTGAGCAGCATCTCCGTAGCCGCTATCTCTAACACAGACTTTAACTACTCATGACATCTCAGGTGCGTTTTCCGTACTTATTCACTAAACATGAATGGATTTCTGCGTTTCCTTTTTTGTTCCTTTTTTTTAAGAAATTTTACAATAATTGAGTGTTCACTGACCCAAATATAATTTTTTACCAACCATCGCCACTAAACCCCTCGGCGGGCAGTATTATTATTATTGTGCAGGCTTTTGGTTTTGGAACGGAGGGCCTTACAGCTACCACGGTATATGTATTCTGCATTAAATATTAAAGTTTTGTAAAACACCTGGTAGACCTCAATAGTGTCAATTTAAATAAACTATATCATACTTTCCTACGTTTTTAATGACTGATTTAATTCTAGCGTTTGAGTCATGACATGTTGAAGTAATATAGCGCTACCTCCTGCCAAACGCTCTGTATTTTGACACAAATAAATAGTTTTCTTTATCATTGAGCATCGCTTTATCCATTTAAGTACTTTTTTATAGTAGGGCTTGTTTTTCAGTTTACCCACAATTCTAGATATTATTTATATGATTTGCTATTTCAGCTCGGGGCTTTGGCAGTCAGACGACGAAAAGAAGGAAATACGTTCGGATAATACAGGTATGTCATGAGAAGAATTTAATTTAATTTCCAGGCTCATACGCTCGTGACAATTATGGGTCGTTGTATTTTTCCATCTTAAATCACCTAAAAAATACACAATCTTATTTAAGATAGGTTTCAAATGTTCACGATTAGGCCTATTCTAAAACGAAAATGAGGGCCTAAACTTGGATATAATCATAAATGTAAAATACGGCTTAAAAGTAAATGTAAACGACAAATTGGCATACAATTATTATCAACATGTAAGTATGACATTTGTCACTTTGTCAATCAATAAAGTTAAGCGTACGTTAGTAGACCAAAGAAGAAGTAAATTCAAAGGATGTAAATGAACAAATTCATTTCAACTGGCACGAGTACGGTAATGGAGCGAGGGCAACGGAGTTGCATGGGCTTTTCTTTGTGACCCCCCCCCCCCCCCCCAAAAAAAAAAATCTTTCAAAGAAACTTAAAAATATTTATATACTACTTACTTCTCCCATCCATGTGATCATCTTGCATAGATTTTACATACTCGCAGCATTTCTGAGTTTCTGTGGGACCACAGTAGAGGCCGCCAGTGTGAGCAATAATAACTCGGTGCGCTGGCAAGACGAGCTTGTCTCGCTCGCCAGATGGATATCGAGCTTTCCATCCAGCTCTGGGCATCAGTTGGATATACGTGTCTGAAAAAACATAAAAAAACATTAAAATACTGTATACATATACACAAATATACAAATATCGAAACATCAAAGTGTATCGACTCTTTTGTACTAGATTTTAAAAAAGATCGGAAGGGCCTTAAGTGATTTGTCATTGCTTTGAGCCCACTTTTTAACCAAAACATTAGACTTGCAATAATGACTTACATCATCGAGGGACTAATTCTATATCATAGAGGCCAATTGACCGACGATTACGCGACATTTTTGTCCAGGTGAGCAAAGCACATCCCACCTCAATGTGATTTTAAAGCTCTGATGTGATAAATTGTATAATGAGACTACACTCACGGTTTTTTATAAGTTCAATATTCTTTCTGCATGGCGTTTCTATAGTCGGAAACTCCGTTTTGGGCGCAGACACAACATACACTATAACTGCCATAATAACAAGTAGCACCGCAACACCAAGAACTAATCCAAGTTTCCCGTATTTATGAACGATTTCCGTCAGTCTTTTGATTCCCTGGTTCTGTTCCTCAAGATTTTCCACAATCTCCGGATCAGTTAGGGTCACCCTGTCTCTTCTATAGTTGACCAAATTGTCCACGTTAGCCCCCATTCTCCGGAGGGGCTCTGAAACACCAACAAACAACTCATCGTATTCCTCCAGGTCCATTGTTTTTGCAGATTCTTGTTTAATCAGAGGATAGAACGCTCTTATTCGGAGCACATCGTCCGATTTTGAGATCTCAAATTCTTGGGGTGTTTTATCCCATTTTATCTTGACCCCACGGGTAATGTTCCTAATGAGGACCACTAGGAGAGGCAAGTCCAATTCAGTGACGTCACACTGAACCCCTTGCGCAGGATATAGAAGTGCAAATTCCTCTTCTGTAATAATGCTGTTTTCTTTGAGAGTCTCTATTTTTTCTCGATACTTCTTTTCGCGCAGAACTTTGGCCACGTTCTTGGTTTTAGAAGGGAGATGGGATTGGAGGTATCGCACGAGACATGCTCTGCATTCTGCGCGCAGAAGGCTGCATAGTTCAGGTACGCTCGGCGGCAGTGGTTCTTCACCAAAACCTGGTTCTAAAAAATCATTTGTAGCAATTTTACAATTACCAACCGTTGACTACTTTAGTCAGTGTGTATACTACTAAGTACACACAATGGACAATGGAAGTGTCACTCCTACTGAACCAATACTTTGGGGGAGATAAATGAATGTGGAATGATATGCTCCTGGTATCATTTTATTAACATCAAATTTCACACACACACACACACACACAAAAAAAAAAAAAAAAAAAATGAAGACCAGGCATTATAAATACTCAAGATCTGACTACTTTGATTATTGATTACTCTGATTCAGGGGGTGACACTTCCATTCTCCATTGTGTGTAATTTGACTGAATAATATTGATAGAATTTGAACATATATCTGCGCCTTTTAATCTTGACCATTCATGCAAAGCATGAACTTCCATAAGCAGCACTACATGACCATAAGTCGTTCTCATTTTGTTAGGTGTTATTATATAGAAGGAGATTCCTTACCGAGCTCCAATACACATGTGTCGTCTCCATTGTCACAATCATTTGGCACTGGCTGGCAAAATTCGTTTGCCAGAGAATTATCTTCAGGAGACGTCGGACAGTTATTTGGTATATTGTGTTCATTTGCATTTTTAATGTTCAGTAACTTGACGTCTTTATCCTGCGTGCTGCCTATTTCAGGTTCTAAGTCTCCCTCTTTATGGCAAGAAGGCGTCCAGCCAACAGGATCTTTTTGAATTTCATCGGACGGTGCCGTTTTTTCTGTGTCAGTTACAGGCTGTGTGTTAATGCTTTGAGGTACAGGTGCCTTGTGATTGTCATACTTATCCAGTATATCCTGTAGAACGTTTGCAGCGTCTGTCCGTCCCATAGACATTGCCCCTTGATACAAATTATCCACGAACTGTCTTCCTGGTTGGCCACATCTACCGCTGTAGATAGACAACAAGGCCTTGGTGGGTTCATTCTCTCGTTCCAGTTTTCGGATCTCTTGGAAACTGAATCCCAATATGTCTGCCAGCATTCTCCAATCATTGCCGAATGCGTCATGAGGATCCAGCAATAAAGAGAGCTGGCGTATGGCGTTGTAGCCAATGAATGAGATGCCATCCCCTGGAAAACAGTGGCAATAATTAAATTGATTGGTGATCTATGTATTTATGCACCTTTATTATATGTCACAGGGCAAGATTAAAATCAATGCAGATTTAAAATACACCATACATGTAGGTGTTCTCAAGGAATGTGTGCGATGAAAAGATGGCCCTCACTATTTCCTATAAGGCAGCTCTAGTACAGTATTGCCTTTTAAATGTATGAGCTATATGTGTATATTTATTTATCATAAAAATTGATACTTGGTATTTGAACAAATATTTTCTGTTATCTTTCTGCGTCACATATCACAAAGACAAATAAAGATACATAGTGTACCATAAATAACTACTGTACTACTGTATATACTGTATTATCATATATCTAACCGTGTTTGTTCTTGTTATAACCTTAACCTGATGTTTTTGATAAATGTGCAAAGTTCGGTGACTTGTAAGCCCACGCGACCAGGTGATTCATATATTTATATATTCACATGTCACGTTAATAAATACATTCTTCTCTTACACTCGGTCGTTTTCGCCAAACTTCATTTGAATAATATTATTGCGTGCACAGCAGTAATGCGTCATACAGGGGGGTCCAATTTCTGAAAAAAAATCACACCAATGGTCCCCTCTTGAAGTTAAAAATTTGACTAGCTGAATCATAGTTCAAAACCGTACCAAATGCCACCGTTCGTCCTCTAAAATACCAAAAATTTTCGGGGCCCGCTGAAGGGCCGCGAATACCACTTCAAGGTGGGGGTGGGGGGGGGGGGGGCAGCCCTCATTCCCAAAATAACGGACCCCCTTTAAGTAATCCGCCCCTGTGCACAGTGTACACGCCAATTCGACACAAGTTGTACAACTTGCTGAATTGCTCATCAAAAATCAAGACAACTTAAAGGGATAATAACTCTTCGTATGAAATCTATATTTCACGATAAAAACATAGTGAATAACTCATAGAAATATAATATATTCTGTTTTACCACAAAAACAGCAGTTATAGCTATTATTCTGATATCTGAGCTTGTCTTCAGATCACGTGACCTCCATTGATGGCTATACTCTGTTATAATCTCTTAAGAGATTTTAACAAAAAACCAAACTTTTTAGAAAAAAACCAGGGACTAACTTTGAATGTAAAAATGGATTCATTAACCATTGGTAAGTATGGGAAAATTATTGTTTACTCCAGGAAAATTCATTTTTGGCCAAAACGAAGAGTTATTATCCCTTTAAACTAGTGTATTATTTACAAGGGAAGGACTGCAATGTTAGAGCTTCCGCAGAATACTAGCTGTAATTTTGTTGTCGTGTTTACAGGATGAAACAACTCATTAAGTGTTTGTCCTTGACCTTCAAGACGCCTTCGATTGTTACCGGCAAAGTCAACATTAACTATCAACCAGGAGGAAATTTTTAAGCATAGGTCTACAGTTTGACACACGAAGTTCTACTGGTCGTGAACACACATAATTAAACAAAATCCCTTCACGGGACTCCAAACCCCACTCCAAGGGGGAGAGGGGGGGGAGGGTCGGCTTTGCACATGCGGATCCCCCTCAAATAATCCTGGATTCGCCCCTACCTAACTACGAAATTTGCGGACTTTTCGACCAGAACGGAAGGAAAATTACGACCAGAAACTTGAAGGTTCTTGGTTGATCGAATGATTAATTTGGTTTTTTCATCGGCACGTGGGCTTTATATGAGTTGCATAAGACTAGTAGAAGTGATTTATATGTGTTACTTTAAAATCGGACCTGAACTTTAAAATTGGATTGAAATCCAAGTCACAGACACTTCAAATTAACAGCAGAGTAATCAAATCCCTTACAAGCCATTTTAATTATGAAATCCATGGATAAGAACATCTTTCATCTCTCCATATCGTCAGTGAGTTACAAAAAATTTTAATACATATTTTTGCCTCACATAAAGGTTCTCTTAACTGTTCGGATTCTACGTACTTTGACAAACATGTTAAGTTTTTCATTTTCATTTTTTACACTATACTGTCACTAATTGACCCAAATGTTAAAATAGTTGTTAAAGGACAGCAAGGGTCTAGATAGATGTAGATGCGTTTGTGAAAAACGAATAAGCGCTTTTTGCGACGACGTCGAAATATGTAGTTGTATTTTAATAAAATGTTATACATGTGCCATCTTCCAATATAATAAAAAAAAAGCATAAAGTCCTGCAGTTGTTGTGACAACCACTCCTTACCTAAAACAAAAAGAGGCATTGGGAAAATTCTATGCAATGTTCACTCGAATTTACCAGAGGCCATATAAACATAGACAAGTATATCTGGACATTTCATTTCAAAATTGATTTTATTTTTGATTGCATGAGAAAGAGTAAAACATGTAGGCCTACGTTTGGCATGGGGAGTAATACACTGCACATTATCAAAATCATTTCAGTAACGTAATTCTCATGATTATTTTTTTTTGCCGACAATTTTCAAACAAATAGGAATATGCGACATTACATGGGCGCGCTACTAACACATTTACAAAATAAAGGAGCATACTTGTTTGTTTAAACCCAAAGGCTTTTAATTCTAAATCAGTTACTCTGCTATCCATCAAGGAAGATAGAATTTAAAGGTGTTTCCATATATAGACAAGGGATATGAAAAGGTATTTTTTAATTCGCAGAATTAATGACCGCTGTTGAATTAGACAGGACGAAAAAAAGTAGGAACATTTCCTTCCAGAGGTGATGCATTATGAATTGCATGTATTAAACAAGCCACTTTTGTTTTAATAAAACCACGCTTTAAAATGAAGGTTACAGCTCATTATATGGGATAGGCCTCGCCAGTCTTTTCTTTCCACCTACTCCGTCACTCCTTTATTACATGTACCACGTTACAGACAAATTTTCTGACAGGCACAGAGCGTTCCATCTAAAACTCGAGCGTCTGTTTATATTTGGCTTAAATTGTCACATGGGCTCACCATGTTAAAAAGTACGAAAAAAAACGTCTCTCTGATTTACTCCGGATTTACCCCACATAAATTACGAAGTGCATGTCACCAAAACGGAGCGAGGCTCGACTAAAGTTACATGCATATACAGGCAGCTTCAAATCATTTAAGTCCACTGGCAGTGGGAAAACGGCTGCCAAATACCACAGTATGCTCAGTCAGGTGGGATCACTCGAATACTCTTAAAGGGCACAGAAATTTTGGGTTATAAGAAACTCTTGTTAAATTATGTTTGTTCACGGCCAGCGGCACTTCGTGTGTCAAACTGTAGCCCTATGCTTTTTCTTCCTGGTTGAAAGTTGATATTGATTTTGGTGGTAACAATCGAAGGCGTCTTGAAGGTCAAGGACAAACACTTAATGAGTTGTTTAATCCTGTACACACGTCAACAAAATTACAGCTAGTATTCTGCAGAAGCTGTAACATTGCAGTCCTTCCCTTGTAAATAATACACTAGCATAAGTTGTCTTGATTTTTGATGAGTAATTCAGCAAGTTGTACAACTTGTGTCGAATCGGCGTGTACACTGTAAACAGGGGCAGATCTAGGATTACTTGAAAGGGGGGTCCGTTTTTGGTAATGAAAGGCCGACCCCCCCCCCCCCCCTTGGCGCGGGGTTCGGGGCCTGTTGAAGGGCCACGGAAAATGTTGGTATTTTAGAGGGCGAACGGTGGCATTTGGTACGGTTTAGAACGATTCAGCTGGTCAAAATTCGAATTTCAAGATTGATGTGATTGTTTTCAGAAATCGAAGGGGAAATGGGGGGGGGGGGTCTCCTGCCCCCCCCCCCCCCCCCGACTCTCCCCTGGTATATAGAGTATACTGGTATATAGAGTTAAATATCTGGTAAATAATTTTACTGTTACAAACACTGGTACATATATGCATACATGTATCACCACATAAATGATTAATGCAATTTATTAAATTTTATCTAGTGTTTAGTCTGTAAAGATTTTTAAGGCGAAAGAAACCCGTGGTACTCCATCAATTTTAAAGATTTCGGAAGACCAAAAAACACATTTTAGGAGCTAATGGTTGAGTAAATGTGGGACAGAAAGAATAGGAAGAAATAAAAGAAGAGAACAAAGGGGCGAGAAGGAAGAAAGAAGGTTAAAAAGGCAAGCAAAAAAAGATATATGGAATTAATTATATTATATATAATACCCATGTATATGGAAAATGAACGAACCGACATGAAGAAGCCAAGGACTACATTTTCTACAAACACATGTAACTAAAGCACAAACATGTCCAAAAATAACGCCAACAAAATATGAAAAAACCATACACAAAAGCATTCCTTTATTTTTTATCATGTAAGGTGTCACTGACTTTTCTTCATTTGGATATAAGGCGGGCATTATATGTGATTTCTTTTTACAAAGCTCTGAGCGTGATGAAGCACATAAAGGAACCCCATTTATTTATTCCACATATCTAAAGTGGACAGTCCGTTATTCAGACGCAGTCCGTATTACTTGAAACGCCTCGGCCCTCGGCGAGTATACTGATGGTATGAAGCATACAATACCCGTCTGATTTTTACTAGTCTTGTTCCGGGATTTCTACTATCAAACCATCGGCCCCTGTACTGCACGTAATATATAGGCGCGGCTGACACAAGGTGGTTGGAGAGTCATAGAAATGACGGGTGCAATAATTTGGCCAGATTCTTAAGAATCAGATAAAATGCTTTATAATAGAAACGTTTTTACGCACCATGTAAGTGTTATACGGTATGAATATTATTCACACGTTCTATAAAGCCGTATGGTAGAAGCCTTGTATGTGTATGCGCGTGCATATGTGTATGTTGATGCATATGTGTACACATTGAAAAACGTCAATCAATTTCTTGTTTTTTTACATCACATATCTAATAAAATATATTTTTAACAAAAGGATAGAAAAAAGATATAGAGCCTTACTAACGGACCAAGTACAATAAAAGCACAGTAAGACAGTAAATCGCGATTAACATTTTATCGCGTGAGCACACTGTCAGGTA